CCTTTTCCATCTGTGAAGAACGAGACCAGCAGGATTCGCGGTCTCTCTTCCGGCTAGCACGGCATTTTGCCCGGAGCTCTTTGCGAGTTTCATTGTGTTCGTTTCCAGCCGGAATAATAATAATGCTTCAGCTGTAAGCCGTAACGGCGCTTCACTGCAGTGCGACCGCCACCAGTCGCGCGCGGGCTGAGTATACCGCGAGGACGCTCACCCCTACGCGGATTCGAACCGGTGACCTTATGGTTGCAAAGCAAACATGCGTACCACTCGGCCACCGGCCGACTCCAGTCGGAATAGGCCGGCGAGCATCGCTAAGTTCCAGAGACCGCGAAGAGATCCAATGTTCATGTTGGCGATTAGACTCACCACATAAGGGTTTTCCTGCTGCTAGTAAGGTCTGGTGAATATGCGACCAGTGAGCTTCAATTGGATCCAGTAAGCGTTTACTCAACTCGCATGACAGCGTACTTTGATAGGCATTCAGAACAGTTAGCCGGTGTCAATGCGCTCACAACGTCATCGTGGGCGTCACCCAAAACGCATCCGCAGGTCAGCACATACAAGTGCATGGTCGGTGTCCACACATATGCTCCAAATCGAGCGACAGTTCTGGACGCAGCCCCTCCATCGGTAGCTTATCGCAGTCTGATCGATTTACGTCCATAGCTGGTTCGAGGCTGGTGGGCGCCAAGTCACCCTCAGGCGGGTGCTGTGTCAGAAATTAGTGCTTGCAAGAAATAAGCGAGCATCTTCACACAAATGAAGTAACCGCTCACTGTTATCATTACGGGAGCCTACACCATGTTGGCCGCCCAGATGCAGTTCATCAGTGGATAATTTTCTAACTTGAGCGTTCAGATCCCCAGTCAGCACTACCGTGTCCGAGCTTCTTCTGTGGCTAAGGAGCTCGTTCAGTTGACGATAGAAGTCGTCTTTTACCGAATCATGGCTAGTGTTTGCGGGTGCATAGGCAGCCATGACGAATAGACACCTGTTACTCTCGTGCGGCTTCGAAGCTTAGAACGAGCCAACTGATCGGACCACACACAACCAGCTACTGATAGGAATCCAATTAACCAGAGCAGCTTCAACCCAGAGACTCAGGGCCATACCAACACCGGCTTGGCTGGTGTTCGAAGCTGCATCGTCACCGGATAGGCACAATGAGAAAGTGCTGCTAGTGTCACCTGAAGGGGATCGCAAAGTGAGCACTGAGCTCGAGTCTTGCAGGCGGGTCTCCGATAGGCAGCAGATAACGATCGAGAGGGTCTCTACTGTTCGGGCAAGCGCTGCCTGTTGATCGATCTGTAGCAATTTGCAAACATTGAGGCATGCGAATTTGAAGGAGGATCGAGGGCTCCAAATGGATGCCAATGAACTGGAGTGGACCGCTTGCTTGGACATGGGCTTGTCGATAGGGCAGGAATGACACTCCGCGTTCACATGGGAGTTGAAGCTAAAAGGTAAAAGCCTATCAAAGCAAGGTGGGAGGGGCAAAGGATTTGGGGGTTGAAAATAGGGGGAATAAAAGTGAAGCTGGAACGGGACGGTAAGAGTGAAAACCCGTAAGAGGGGGAATAAAAAGATGAGTAGGCTTAACCAATAGCATCCAAACCCCTATCCACCCTGCCTGATGCAGCAGATGGGGCACCGTTGCTTGTCCTCTGCGGTGCCCAGACCATCAAGAAATTGTTTGACGAATGATTCATGATTCGTAGTATTGCATGGGCAGAATACTGTCAGGTTGCTTAGGCCTGGACAGGAGAACGATTAGGGTGTTCAACCAAAGCCTTTGGTTCAAAAACCTGACCGCAAGTCAGCGGATTTGGCGTTGGGTTACAAGGAGTCCATTTTAAGGAATAAGGTGCCACTCTCATTCCAACCCCCAACCTGGAGGACCAGGACGCTGTTTGTTTGGCCTCCAACCATTCACCAATCTGGTATGAGTGGCTCTGAAGGTGCAAAAAATACACCACCCAGCATAGCTCAGTGGATCACTGAGACACGCAAACCATCGCACCACAGTAAGGTCCAGCCTTGTTGCCATTGGTTACACACATGTTTGTGCTGTAAAGTTTACTTAACCAATGCATCAAACCCAAGGAGAACTATGTCGTCCGCATACTCCTTGTTTGCCAATTTATCACTTGGCAGAAATTCCACTCCGGTAAGGTCTGAAAGAACGGAGTCATTCATGGTCATTTCGCAATGAGACATACTACAACCCTGGCGAACCCACTTGTTGTGGGGAATTCTGGAGACAGTTTCCCGTAAACCCTTACACGGCCTCGAGAATCAGGGTAGAAAGACTGCATAATAAATAGGCAGTATCACATGCTGGCGCGGTCAACAGAATTGAAGGCGGTTTAGAAGTCAAGGAGGACCACAGTAGTCGGTCGTCTGAATGAGTGTCCCTGCTCTAAAACTTGCCGAGAGTAAATAGGTAGTCGATGCAACCACGACCAGGGCGGAAGCCAGTCTGGCTATCTGTGCTTCGGTTCTCACGGAGACCAGTAAGTCATCGGAGAATGATACCCGTGCGAAGTTTGGCAGCAATGGAAACAAAGCTGATGCATCGATGATTTTCGCACAAAGCACGCTGATCCTTATTGGAAATGAACACGATTATTGACAGTCACCAGTCTGAAGGCAACTCTTCAGTGTTCCGAATCGTGTTTATTAGAGAAGCGAGTCCAGTCAACAGTCACCACTATCTTACAGCAAAGATGGAGGAAGTTCGTGTCAACACAGAATGCGGCATTTAGTAGGGGAATAAATTGAAGCAACGAAAAGATAACAGCGTTATGACAAATCTTTGACTTCCTGATTCTGAATCTGACGACGATGGCTATCTTCTGGTGATACTGAGTCAATGGTACGAAGTATTTACGGTGTTTGTATTGCGCTCAGCAAACATGCCTAAGAAAATATGCTCGATTGGATACCCATGAACAGCCGCAAGTGTGTGGTTCGTCTTCGAATTTCTAGTTGACTGATTACGTGTCTTGGATCTTCACAGAGAGAAGGGCGTAACCCAGTTCCCACCGAGTGATCGCCGCGATGCGTCCAGGGCATGAGCCCATGGCTCAACAGTAGCAGCAGTGGGTAGATTATCTGTCAGGATCTAGCCACCACTAGCCTCAGCGCACCACTGTATATATATATATATATATATATATATATATATATATATATATATATATATCTGTATATATATATATATATATATATATATATATATATATATATATACCGCCGTCTACCGCGTCGCGCTCTATTCGCTCGTCAAGCACCTGGCTGGAGGCGACCGCGTAGTGGTCAGCCTTCCACTTGGCGGTAGCACATGGAATCGCTGATGTCGTGTCTAGCCGCTGTTGGATCCGTACGTCTTCCAGGATGGGGACCCAAAGATGAGGCGTGCCAATGGCTTAGCACTCTTGATGATATGGCCCGCAACCGAAATCAGTGGAAGCATTTTATACAGTATTGTATTGATTCACAAGTTTAATACTACAAACATTAAAATGACAAAAAGAGAAAAATCGGCTTGTGAAAAACAAACTAAAAATGTTTTGTTCTACTTTTTATCAAAATGTTCCATTCTTCCTGCGGCATATTAGTTGAAGTGTGTTGCTCACCTTCAACTAGCATGCCACGATGATTATGACGCGATGACTCTCCCTTATCCTCTGATCTCCACGGTTTTATGCTGGCTCTGTGTCTAGTTAATAGACGGCCGGTGGCCGAGTGGTCGGCAAGCTTGCTTTCCAACCACAAGGTCACCGGTTCGAATCCGCGTAGGGGTGGGCGTCCTCGCGGTATACTCAGCCCGCGCGCGACTAGTGGTGGTCGCGCGGCAGCGAAGCGTCGTTACGGCGTATAAGCTGACACATTCTTCTTCTTCTACATTACATTTTGTACCTATCGCGGATTCGCTTATAACCAATTTCTTCCATATGCTCATTTAGCGAGTATTTATGTCATCATATACGTTTACTTTATTCGATATCGGCATTTTGAATGATCAGCTGTTGTTTGGCATCCCAGCTGTGGCTGCGCTTGATGTGCATGTTGACAAGATGCCTACCTGTCAATTACCCGCTACCCCGTCCATGCTCCAGCAGACAGTTGGTCGTTGCCGGAGGGGACGGGATACACAGTCCTTGTGGTCGTGCTATACTCGTAGAGTAGTTCTATGCACTCAGTGTGGAGCGGAATACGGTCCAGCCACCGCTTTGTGTGCTCTTGATTCCCCAAATACAGCGCGTTTGTGTTTGTCTGTGCAGGAGTGTGGGCCGGCTTCGTTGATGAAACTTGGTTCCCATCCACATGCCTCCCGGTCTTATTCCTTCGGGTTTACGCTTGATATGGGTGTGTGGATGAAGCTGTGCGTGGTGCAGTGCAAGGCATCCAAGGTCCCTCTGTAGGCGTGGGCGTCCTGGGGCTTGCCACAGTGACAGGCAAATCCAAAACCGGATGCCGCCAACTAATTGTATGTGTGTAGCTATATACCCTGTGGTTGTAAATGTGCCGCTGCATTTCTGACTGTTCGTTCACCTCGGCAATGTGATACTAGACGGTTGCTGTCCGTGGGTTGGATGTGTTTGTCCGGATATTCACGGGCATTGACTTTAGTTAGTGGCGAGTCCCAACCGCATAATACATTTTTTTGCGACACAATACCGGCTGCTTGCTTTCTGAAACGATGTCCATTCGTTACTGGTAGCTCAGTTGGCGTACCTCTGTTGCATCTTTTGTTTTTCTTATTCCATGTATTGCGCACAATAGCTGAGGTGTTTCTAACCTCCGGCTAACGTGTTTAATGAATTAATGAGTGTGATTTCCCTTCCGTAGTTTGTTTTAAAACGGGGTCCACCTTTATCTGGTTCAATTACAAATTGATATCTTCTAAGTTAACTTTTAACCTTTCAGCGTAGTAGGTTGCATTATCATCTACAAACTTCGTCTGGTATTTAAGGATACTCTCTTGTTCATTTTAGGCCGGTGAGAACGTTCCTCGTCGTGATTCGGATGATCTGGCTCGTCTTCCTTTCCTTCGGCGCTGGTTCCGCACTCGTTCTGCCATGGTTTTGCATCTCAGCAACGGCACTCTCCAAGCAAGTTATTTGTGGTATCATCAGTCCTTCCGCTGCATCCTGCTGTCCTCTATGTTCTCCGTGTCATGCGCATTTGCTTTCCACACCGGCATTCACTAATTACGTATTTCTATTGTGTTAGATTTCTTTCAAATTTCCAACAATCTATAGTTCTCAGTTTGACTTGTGTCCACGCTTTTCCTTCCTTAAATTTTGATCTTGGGACTTAGTGCACTATGCAATAAGTTGCGTGACCCTATTCTAAATCTTCGACCAGACCCCCTATCTGGACTTGAACCATTTCTCATTGCCTGTAAATGCTTCCTTCATTGCATTTGGATGATTTGCGATCCATTATAGAAGTGAATGCATCATCTTATACATTAGTTGTCCCGTACACACATTGTTCAGCCGTACTAGATTGTCTACTACAATTCATCAGCCTGGTCCTCAAGATTATTCCTGTAGTTCGTATATATGGTTGGCGGCATCCGGTTTCGGATTTGCTTGTCACTGTGGCCAGCCTCAGAACGCCCGCATCATGGATGGCTTGCGCCGCACCACCCACAGTTCCAATCACGTATTTCACATCCAGTGTAAACCCGAAGGAATAAGACCGGGAGGCATGTGGATGGGAGCCAAGTTTCATCATCGGAGTCGGCCCATACTCCTACACAGGCAAACACAAGCACACTGTACTTGGGGAATCAAGCGCACACAAGGCGGTGGATGGACCGTAGTCCGCTCCACACTGAGTGCATGGAACCACTCTTTGATCCTAACACGACCACAAGAACCGTGCACGCCGTCCCCTGCAGCAACGACCAACTGTCTCCTGGAGCCAGTATGGACGAGGCAGTGGGTAATAGACAGATAGGCACCTTGTCAACATGCACATCAAGCGCAGCCACACCGGGGATATCAAGCAACAGCCAATCACTTGAAAGAAAGCTAACAAAGAAAATAAATCGAGTAATGCATAAGGAAACGTGACAAAAATCTTAAATTAATGAGCATATGAAATAAGTTGTTAACAGAGGATCCGAGATAAGTTCAGGGGGTGAGGAAGTATATTTTACGGAAATGACACAAACGCGAAAATGTTATCGAAATTAACTACAATTGGCTTAAGCGAGTTGTGCAAGTTTATAGAAGAGCGTACAGATGGACATTTATTTGAGAAAGAAAAGCATTAGGACAAAATTGAAAACCTACCACCTGAAATAAAGAGACTTAGCATGCAAGCACACGGTTAGTAAATCGAATGCAGTGTACCTACAAACACTGCGCTGGTTCTGCCTACGTTCTCTGCAGGACCCGTCGTCGCTTCGGTAGTGGTCCCGAGTGGCCTGGATCATGGCTCACTAAGCCTGCCTGACTCAGGCACTCGCGACCGCATGTGCTACAGCACCATGCGCTTGATGTGGATGGAGAACAACCCATCGGTGCTTCCGCTTCCGCACTTGCCGCTTCTTCTCTGCATGCATGAGGGCTTTCTCCTGCACCTCGGCAACTGCCTTCGTGATCAGATCGCGCCATGCACCCCGATCAACCGCCTTCGATTCCCATGATCTGCAATCAAGCTTAGAACGTGAGAGACTCACTTTGATCATGTCCTGGTAACGTAACTTTGGTTTCCCAACATGCCGCTCCCCGATACTCAGCTGACCGTATAAGATTTGTTTCGGTATCCGCGTTGAATCCATACGGCTCACATGACCGATTCACCTCAGGTGTCCTGGCAAAAGTATGCAGTCCACTGCATACGTTCCACTACGGCGCAACACTTCCGTGTCTGCAACTCTATCGCCCCAGCCGATCCGCAAAATTCGTCGCAGACACTGCTGATGGAACCGCTCGAGATATCGCACATCCCAACGGTACACCGTCCACATTTCACTGCCCTACAGAAGAACGGACAGCACCATGGATTTGTACACCATCGGCTTCGTGCCAGTGGTAAGATGATGGTTGTTCCACCCTCGGTACTCAAGCTTCCCGAATGCGGGCGCTGCCTTCGACACGCGGATACGTAGCTCATTGTGCATCTGTTGATCAGTCGACATCACACTCCCAAGGTAGCAGAAGCGGGAGGTGGTTTCCAGTACTTCAGCACCAATGCTGATTCGCGGCAATATCGAAGATTACTGAAAGAGACAGACAGTTTTTCTTGTGTTGATGGTGAGCCCGAATTTGGCCGCTGTCGAAGCCAGAGCACTAGTCATATGCTGCAACTCATTCGCGCTGTGTGAAAACAACGCACAGTCGTCAGCAAACAGCAATGTACGGATAGTTGTCTCACAGACTAGAGTTCTCGCACCGAAACGACGGATGTTCAGCAACCCACCATCAATACGGTGCTCCACACGAACACAAGCGGCATCAAAAGCACAGGTCAACATTGCATGAAGATATATATTAAACAGGGCAGGAGCTAAGACACAGCCTTTCTTCACACCAGTGACAACTGCAAAGTCATCCGAATTCTTTCCACTCATCTGCACCCTCGCTCGCATACCACTGTGTAGACATTCAATTAAACTTACAAACTTACGTGGGCAACCAAACTTACCCAACACCAGTCACAATGCCTCGCGGTTCACCGTATCAAATGCCTTAATGAAATCAACAAAAAGCGAGTACAATGGCTGGTGTCGTTCTCTGCACTTCTCCTGCAACTGACGAGCCGCAAACACCAAATCTATAGTGCTGCGACCCTAACGGAATCCGCATTGCTCTTCCGCCACGTTAGGTTCCACAACCTGACTCACGAGGCGATTGAGCAGGATTCGGGCAATCACCTTGCTCACACAACTCAGCTAGTTGATGGCACGATAACTCGTGCAACATTGCTTGCTCCCTTTGCCCTTGTACAGGGGTAGCACAAGGGCATCCTTCAGCTCAGCAGGCACCTCCTCCTCAATCCATACACGTTGCACCAAGTGGTGCAGCGCAGTCAACAACGTGGGTCCACCGTGTTTCAATACTTCAGGTGGGATCCCGTCGGCTCCGGCACATTTGCAGTTTCGCAGCTGAGCCAATGCTCTCTGCGTCTTATCCAGTGTCGGCGTGTCCGCCAAACTCGTCTTCACATCGTGTTGTTTCAGGCAGTTCAATGTAGGCCAGTCGATCTCTGAACGGTTGTTCAAGAGACAGTCAAAGTGTTTCCGCCAGATCTGCATTATGTCTGCAGTCTGGGTGCAGGTAAAGCCTGAACTACCATCGATCAGCGTCCTCAGCGGCTCCAATCTCGGTCCATACACCGCCTTCGGCGTAGCATTCCATCTGCTTCGCCTTCTCCGTCCACCATGGATTTTTAATGCGACGGAGCTCTCGGGTCAGTCGCCGTCGAAGTTTGCGAAACTGACTACTCTTCCGCAAGTCACTGGGATCTGCCACATGTGCAGCAAATGCTGCATTCTTCTCTGACACCAATGCGTCAATCGTCACATTGTTGTCATCAAACCAATCAGGCCGCTTACAGTTTGCGCGCCCGATGGTCTCCTCGGCAGCAGCTGTCACCTGGTCGCGAATGTGGTGCCACAGGTCGCCCACTGTGGCTATCCAGTCCACATCACCACACAGGCGTGCAGCCATCGCCTTCTCCAGCTCATTACGTTTCGCCACAGTACCGAGGGAGAGAATGTTAAATTTACGCCGATTCACGGCGGGAGTGCAGTACATCGATTTACGAAAATATATGTGCAGTTTGGTCGGAACAAACTTGTGATCAGTGCCACACTCAGCTCCACGCAGTACACGTGTCATGCGCACTTCACGCATATCACGCTGACGTACGATGACATAGTCGAGCAGGTGAGCGTGACCACTCCGTGGGTGCGTCCAAGTTGCTATATCACTCACACTCAGTGCAAACCGAGTGTTCGTGATCGTCAGGCCGTGAGTGGCACACAGTGAGAGCAGTCTGTCACCGTTCGCATTCGCTGAATCAATGCCACGCGAACCGATAACATCTGTCCACACCGATGCATCACGTCCGACGCGGGCGTTGAAATCACACAGCAGAAACAGTCGGTCGCTCCTCGGCACAGACCGTAACACGGAGAATAGCTGAGTGTAGGATTGATCACGCGTGTCATCAGGATAACACATGGTCGGACTGTACGTACTTATAAAAGTGGCAAACTTACCTCTTCCGAGTCGTAGGCGAACAGTCATCATTCGCTCGCTCATGCCCGTTGGTTCACCCAACAGCAGGCTATGAAGGCGATCGGATATTGCAAATCCGACCCCATGATCACGTGGTGCTGAGGCGGTGTTGCCCATCCAGTAGAATGTGTAGCCAGCACCTGCTTCAAGCAACTTACCTTGCTCAGCAAGCCGAGTTTCACTGAGCGCCGCAATATCGATGTGGTAGCGCGCCAGTTCCATTGCGACGGGTGCAGTGCGTCGCTCCGGGCGCTCGCTGGAGTTCCGGTCCAGTAGTGTGCGCACGTTCCAGCACCCGATGCTGAGTGCTTTGCGCGCAGGCATACGATTGCATTGGTTGGCACTCGCACGCGAGGTGGTCGTTGTGCTTCGGAGGTTTGCTTGAGGGACTCCACCCGGAGCCTTTGGCTCAATAGCCTGACCCACAAGGCAGTGGGTGGTTTGAAGGTTTGCTTGAGGGACTCCACCCGGAGCCTTTGGCTCAATAGCCTGACCCACAAGGCAGTGGGTGGTTTGGAGGTTTGCTTGAGGGACTCCACCCGGAGTCTTTGGCTCAATAGCCTGACCCACAAGGCAGTGGGTGATTCGGAGGTTTGCTTGAGGGACTCCGCCCGGAGCCTTTGGCTCAATAGCCTGACCCACAAGGCAGTGGGGAGCAGATCCAGCTCGGGAATGTGATTGCAGAGACAGCTTGGGATCTGCTTGACGGCCGTCACACGCAGCCTTTGAGGTTCTGGAACAATTATCATATGTTTTGCCACCGTAATTGGATACGCACCTGCGACCACGGCCAGACGCAGGTGGGTTTTGGCGGGTTTGCACCAATTTGACCAGGGGCTGCCTGGCTTGAG